TTAAGAATTATGATATCAGTTTATTATATCATTTGATGCACATGAATTTTATGGAATAATTGCTCCTATATTAATTTTAGTTTAGACACACTTGTGCGTTTTTGCGTGTGTGTGCATGCGTGCGTGAGTGCATCCCAGTGCGTGTGTATGCCAGAGTGTTAAGCTTTCATGGTCCATCCCGAATGGCTGTTGGCCTTTCCTGGTCATGTAAATATCCTAGGCTCAATCCTTTGTGAGATTATGAACGGCTGGGTGCTGCTGAAGAGGCCTGAACTACGAAAAGAGATCTGTTCGGTACCATCTGGTTTTGTGGGTCAATGGTGTACTACGGCTGGAATCTCGATAGCCCCACGCAAATTGGTCCAGATTCGACTTCTGGCTGATTACCTTCTAAAAGTGTGTTAATAAGGTCTGGTAGGGGGAAGATTAGCCGCGAGTCTAGGAATAATCTTACACCCGTAAGAAAACAGTACCACCGCTACTGAAATTTCAAGCTTTAAACCCTCTGTTCTACAAGGGATGCTAGGAATGAGAAACAAACAAACAAAACGGAAGTCATGGTGATTAGAGTAAGTCAAAGCGTTATTTCCCTAGGGCAGTTTGTAGTCAGTTCCCTACGAAACGAAGCTCCGACAGGTTGTTTGTAGACATTTGATTCGTTTCAAGGTTGATTACGGATCGTTATCAGTTAGAGAACTGTTGAAAACTAGTAGAGGGTAACTGGAGAGCTGTTTTGTCTGATCTGCAGTAAGCATCCACACTGCGGGCCTCGAACCCAAGACCTTCCCGTTACAAGGGGAGCACGTAAACTATATAGGTATCCGCCTTAGTGGCCCATGAATTCTAACTTCTACCGATTACTGATTCTAACGCGACTGCTGGCACCAGTCATTATCATCGGTGAGGATTTCTTTTTATGCCTGACTGGGTGGACTATATTGGTCATGACGTTTCACTAGAATTCTAGGCTACTTCGTTTTGTAGCCAGTCACTAGTGAACATCTGATTATCTTTCAAGGATTAGACTGTATGGATTTGATTTGCTTCAAATTTGTCCTTGGATTGATATCATTTAGAGAACCACTACTCCAGACGACGAGTCCCAAATAGGACGAAATGTGCATCCTGGATTCGACCAGTGCTAGTCACCATCCACCGATTAACCTCTAATCTGTGTTATGTTTATGAACCTGTTCACGTTGACTTCTTCTTCGTTCTCTGTTTAGTCTAACATCATTATATTTCCAAGTCTAAGGAAAGATAACACCAAAAGTCACTTGTCTTGGCTAAAACTTGTCTTCTTCATTATGATTATTATTATTGTAAATGGCATTATTATGTCTAAATCGAGATGGTATATCTTTTTGAAAATATGTGTTGAAAGACAAGATAATTCATTGGGTTATTACACTTGAACACTTCATGTCAACTGTGTTGTTTAAAAGATTTTTCTCGAAAAATACCCATTTATTCATAAGTAAAAACACAGTTTTTGTTCACCGAAGAAATTTCTTTTCAACGACTTCATTTTCAAGCTGTACAGTCGTATTTATATTACAGAAAAAGGTTATTAAGTGGCACTAAATAATTGCTCAGTCAATGTACGTATACATGTGATAAAAGTTATAAGGGGTAGAGTTGAAGTGGATAAATTACAAAAATATTAAAGATTGTTCTATAACAAAAATGTCAAGTGTTGTCTAAAAATTATGAAAATTAGGAGTACGATTACGATAAGAATGAAGATGTGAAGTGAAGTGGAAAGAATTCAAGTGGTAAAATAAAATAAAAACTAGAAAGAAAATTATTATGACCAAGGTAAAGAAAGGGGTTTGACAAAACGCTTTTGAACACATAATTTAGGTTTCTGTTCATGTATAGCTAAAGCTTCGGCTATGCATAAGTGAAGAAAACGTAAACTTTTGGATCGATTCGATTTTGCCATGTATATAACTTTGAAAGATGAATCACGTGGGGCTAAATGACCAGACTCTAACAGGTGATCACAAATAGACGACTTTGCAGTTCTACGTTCGCCTTTCATTAACCAAACCGGATAGTGTTCAGCTACACGTTTTCGGAGATTACGCTTACAACGTCCAATATAAACAGCTCCACAAGAGCAAGTAAAAGAGTAAATGCACATAGATGTGGACAAAAGCGGTAATCTATCCTTGACGCATTGTCTGATCATATTTCGGCTGGTAAAAACTAGTTGCAGGTCAGCTGCAGGAAAAGTGCGTTTAATACATTTAGATAAACGATTTTTAATCAATTCTGAAATGGTGTCACCTTTGAATGCAAGACTCATAAACAGCTTTTTCTTTGGTACTGTGACTTGTCTCGGGGTGGATTCTTTCTTGATGTTACGTTCAATGAACCTTGTGGGATAACCATTGTTAAGGAGATTTGATCGAAGGTTATCTAGTTCCCTATCGATTGTCTCTGGAGAGCAGATTTTACGAATTCTGGAGCATAAGGAGTGAATAAGATTTCTCTTTCTCCCTAAAGGTACCCAACTGTTGAAGTTAGTGTACTGCCCAGTGAATGTTGGCTTTCGGTAAATCGACCTTAGAAGCGTTCCATTCTCTCTTCTATCTAGCTTAACATCAAGGAAGTGAAACGAAGAATCCGACTCTTCTTCGATCGTGAAAAGCAAAGATGGGTGAGAACCATTAAATATTCTAAGAAGTTCGGCAGTTGAAGTGTTTTCATCACATACAATGAAGGTATCATCAACATATCTTTTATACATAAACAGACTATCGATGGTTTCCTTTAGTGGGCCATTCTCTAAGCTTGCCATGAAAACGTCCGCTAAGAGCGGTCCTAAAAGAGACCCCATGGCGACTCCATCTCTTTGGTTGTAGATGACATCATTAAATCTAAATTGCACATTCAGTGTGCATCTCAATAGTAGTTGTTTAAGATAATCAGTGTTCGAAAGCGTTTTGTCAAACCCCTTTCTTTACCTTGGTCATAATAATTTTCTTTCTAGTTTTTATTTTATTTTACCACTTGAATTCTTTCCACCTCACTTCACATCTTCATTCTTAGCGTAATCGTACTCCTAATTTTCATGATTTTTAGACAACACTTGACATTTTTGTTATAGAACAATCTTTCACACTTTTTGTAATTTATCCACTTCAACTCTACCCCTTATAACTTTTATCACATGTATACATACATTGACTGAGCAATTATTCAGTGCCACTTAATAACCTTTTTCTGTAATATAAATACGACTGTACAGCTTGAAAATGAAGTCGTTAAAAGATTTTTAACCATCTAAAGGAATATTGCTAAAAAGCGTTTCTTCATCGCTCTTGCCAGCTAACCATTGAACTCATAAATTATTGTTGTTTAAACCCTGCTACTGATGTGAGTGCGTTGCATGTACATGTTTGTATGTTGTTCTTAGCGGTTTGCTTAAAATTAACTCAGCGTCCATCATAATTTGCAGTATACACTGACTCCTATTCATATGGTTTCTTGTGGTCATCTAATTATCTCCTTAAGACATGATGTGTATTCACATCGTCCTTCCTCACCCCACCTCCCTTCTTTTTCAAATAGAATAAAGGCTTCGAGATCTAGATTTCGTGCTTGATGAGACACTTGTCAGCAACTTTGAAGAAACTTATGTCCCCTGTGAGATATTTTAACCCGGGTGACACAGTGCTGTAGTTAGAGATTATGCTACTGAACTATTCGGAGCCACGGTTGATCTCTTGTATGGCTGTAATGGGTACATTTGTAGACCCCAAACCACCTAATATCAGTTCAGGGAGTCATGTGATAGAATCTCATCTGAATCAACACCAAGAACTAGACGCCTGAAAATGGTTTTATATCCTAACGACTAATCATTGTATAGATTACTACCTATACTGGTGTGAAGTCATCGATGATATTAAATGGTTGGAGTTAATCGGAAGGAAGCCTTGGACAACACCTAGGTTTTGTGCTAGTTGACACTCACCACCACTCAGTAAGGCCTGTCTGCAATCATCTTGAAGGAACTCATGTCACCTCTGAGATTCGAACTCGCGTTACCCAGTGTTGTCGGCAGTCAGAGGTGTTACCACTGAGCTATTCAGACTCACGATTTACCTCCTGTAGAAGACGGTATCGGATACTTTCATTGGACACAAGTAACTAGTGTCTTCGATGGGAATGAGAGAAAATCATTCTAGACTATTAGGGTGTGCTTCATGTGAAGTATTATATTGATTATTTCTTTACTTGAAGATTTTTCACTAGAAATAAGTACTTTTCAGTAAGATAAAGAAGGGTAAAAGAGAGAGAGAGTAAAACATGTTACTCACCTTTAAAATAACCTGGGAAGAGTTGCGCTTCGAACAGCTTAAAGACTTGACTTTCAGCCAATAGACTCTAGGCCTGAATCTCATTCCACCTTATCTTCAACCTGTGGAGCAACTGAGTGGAATTATCTGTATCTCAAATGTTCAACTTTCTTTGGGGCGGAGGGGGGGTTGTTCATTCCTTGAGTTCCAACTGGAACGAACTCTGTAGTTGCTGTAGCCGATGATACTGTTCCCTCCCACGGGGTGGTGGGGCTTTTATCCTTCTTTCTCTTCCAACTTTCTCTCTTTTTCCGGTTTACTGTCGCTTAGTCAACTAGGTGAGTACGTCGTTTGGGAATCTCGTGGTTGTCTTATCGGCGGACATTCTACCACTGAATCGCCACTATTCCAGATTTAGCTAAGTTCTAACTGTAACACCCAGCTAACTAGATATATGTATTGTGTGTGTGTGAATGTGTATTTCATAGATATTATTCCTGTTTGTTTTTTTGGCAGTTCTCACCTGTGTCGTTTTTTTTATTGTTTAGAATATTTTTTTATTTAAGGCTAAACGCGCAATTGATGTCTTTTGCTGTTGGCATTTTATATGTGCTCTAACAATAAATAGTCATTAGTATTATTAATAGAGTGTGTCCTTTTTTCTGTGTTTTCATTATTTCTTATCTATAGCTAGTATGCGTAAAGAGATCGATGTACTGATTAAAGAGAATATGGATCTTGTGGAAACGAAGTAAGCATTTTTTTTGTTGTCACCTCTGTTCTCTTTATTAAGAAGTAACGTAACATATATGTTTGGCTTCGTCTTAGTGCCCTATATTTTTGGACGTGTCCGCATGCCTACGTCCTATCCATCTTGACTTCTGTCTGCAGATTTCTCGGGTTATAGGTTGTCGGTTGGTACTTTTCTTCCCCCTTTCCCAGAGTTCTTTGTTACTTTTTCAAGGTGGGCAGGTGTTGATAAAAATCTCCAGTAAGCTTATTGGAAATGCTTTTGGTGACGCATGAGTCTAGTCTGCCTGTCTGTCTGTTTTCAACGTAGAATTTTGCACCGATGTTCAGCAGTTCGAGTCGCCACACTCCGTGTAGCACACAAAGCAAGAGAAGAAAGTAATAGAGACAGTAAACAGGGATATGAGACAAAAGTTATAGTAATGAAGAAGAACAATATAGTTAAATTAGGTGTTATTAGTCATAAGGAGTGGATGCATCTGCGCCAGCCATTGAGAACGATTTTAAGTCATACCACAGATTGTCTCCAGTCTTCATTGGTGTTTACCATCTCGAGGACCCTAACCAAGAAGTCTACACCTTCCTACGTGACTGGCTTAAACTAACTGTTGTGGATTTCATTGACTGGTGCCAAGTTTTGGTTTGACCACTGCTAGCTCTTTTCCAGACTCACCTTATGTCGGCTAACATTGCCCATCGAGGAAGACGATGGCTAGGCATTCATACGTAACATATGCCGTAACCATCTCAGTCGATGTAACTACACAGCCTCACCAAATGATTTCCCCTTCTTATCTAGCACTCGACAGATGACTAACCTCAATATTGCTCACCCTATTATACCACATGGGAAACAGAACGCAGGCACTTATGATCAAAGACAGCTAGCCAGAGGAGGATGGATATCATACCTACACCAGAGACGGCGTAAACCGAAATATGCAAAACGAGCCTTCTGTATCCGTGCTGAGATTTCGTCAAGCCATCAGTTTGTGAAATGTATAGAAGCGCTGATCTACTTTATATTCACGTTAATCGAAATTGGGATCTTTTTCTTTGTGCTATGTGGTGTATAGATTTTCACACTGTTTTTGGAGTAATAATTGCCTATCTTTATTTTCTCTATCTTGTCTGGCTTATGTATTCTCATCCGTGCCTAATATGGTCTATAGTTGAAACGAAGCTGCTGAGGTCAAAGTGATGAAGGAGGTGACTTCCTTTGTATTCCTCATGTTGATCATGATGGATATTTTGTTGTTGTTGTTTTAGTTGGTTGGGTATCTGGATATCGCCTATTTCTCCTGTGTATACTCACCTGAATTCGTGTTTTCATTGCCTCTTTTGTCAACTTGTTTGGTTTCACTATTAAGTCTTAGATTTTGTGGAATTTAAAACACATAAATCACCCACAAATTCCACGATCTTTTGGGGTCTTTCTGTCATTCCAACGTATACCTTCCTTCTCACTAGCCACTGTCTACTGTATGATCCAGTCTACCACAATTGGGAAAGATGGTCGGTGATAGTAGTCATTTTTGTCTCACTCCTATCTTCACTTCACAGATTTCATTGAGCTCTCCCTTCAGTGCGGTACTGTCACAATACCTGACTGTGAATAGAGAGCATAGAAAGTAAACTACACAAAAAAAATAACACAACCTACTGTGACCGATAACACTGCTATTTACGAGTTATCGTGTTTAATCGATGACAACTAATGATATCCCTCAAAAATGTCCAATGTCAATATTTATTATTTTCATTTCATTATAAGTGTACTAATGCAGGTGACCCTGATCGGTTTTGATGTCTTAGGGAAAAGTTTTATCAACTCAGAGTTTGTAGACAATGTTGTCCTCCTAGGTGAAGACTTTGATGCAACACAGTCTTCTGAAAACCGAGTAGGCGTTCCCCGACAATTCTTGCTTATCACCTAACATATGTGAGGTGATGCTGTAGGACTTCTCTGCACCAATTTCTAATCTAAGCAATAGGGAATAAAATGTTTGATCGTGTGTGTTAACCAAGGCAAATTGAAAAGGTTATGGCAGCTTTACAAACTAAGAAGACTAGTAACTGGGTGAACCCTTCTATCGATTCAATCACTACGTTCCTTAATGACCAATCATAATTGGAATAGAATTAATTTTTTTATTTTGATTATAGCTTGATTCCATACCGTATTTTCGGTACAAGTTTGAATTTTCATTATGTGACATCGGTAGCCCAAATTTTGCAGGCCAACCATAGATATCAGGTGTGCGTCGGCGGAGGCTCGAACTCCGGACTATATGCGTGGTCGGCGAGAGTCCTAACCGTTGTGCCACCAACACAGAGCTGTAGGGATGTGGTTAGTAGTAGTGAGCCATAGTCAATTAGTCAATTACTTCTTTGACTAATGATTTGAATCACTTTGAGGAGGTGTTGACTATCTGATTGTATTTATCAAGAATCTAAAAGGTGCAGGATTTCATCATAAGCTGACATCAGTTAGAGAACCATTGGAAAACAACCACAGGGAGTACTGGACAGCTGTTTACTACGTCCAAGTTCCAGAATCTTCATCAGTACGCACCCACCGGGGTTTGACAAAAGTTAGAATTGATGGGCTGGCAATTGTATAGGTTCCCAGTGGCTTAATGGTTTACGAGCTCGCTGACCTTGTAATGAGAACGTCCTGGTTTCGAACCCCATGGTGTGGGTGCGTACTGATGAAGAGTTCTAAACTAGGTTGACTAAACAGCTGGCTATCCAGTACTCTCTGTGGTTGTTTTCCGATGGTTCTCTAACTGATGTCAGCTCATGATGAAATCCTCCAACCAATTAAACAAACAAAATTGCCAACAAAATCAATACTTGATAATCTGAGAGTCAATTGTGGTTGGTGGCTACTGTGTTACTCAAAATCGTTCTCTTTATATTTGGCTGAAATGTACTACTCACATATTTTGGTTATTTCATTGATCTGGAATTGTTCATTATTATTTATTTGATCCATTTAATCAAAAGTCTGTAAGAGTATCTTAATCTAATGATTAAAGACTGTTTTCTATGGGGGTGAGGGGGGTGGGTGGACGCTGTCGGCACAAACTGAGAAGATAATGAGATGAATATTTTTTATTTTATCTTATCAATTTTTGTTTGTTTGTTTATTTTGTCCACCATTATATCTACACTTGGAAACATATGCCACACACATACACTCAGGCGTCTTCACTGCTGTATTTCTAATTTTAATCAATAATTACGTCCTCCTATCGTCGTCATCATCATCATCATTGTTGAGAAAGCAATTTTAGTATGTATTATAGTAAACATCATCTAGACATATAGATAAGTTATTTGTTTATAATTAATCTACTGTCATCATTTCAGTTACATGATATAGACTGGCAGTAGGATCCAGAAGGGTGTGTATGTCGTCCTGTTCGACTTCACACACACACAGAACCTCAATATGTGGTGTAGATGAATTACACTTTGACGGTAACTAATTTTGTCTAATTGCTAACCAAACAACCTTTTTGGCGCATGATAGGACCTGCAAAATCATTTATTCTATTCACTGTAGGTTGTTGGATCATTTTGAAATGCTATTGTGGGCTTTTGTCTTCTACTCAAAGTGGATTTGTAAAAGTCGAAGTTGGTTACAACTTTAACCTCACGTTTATATATTATTATTTCCTTCAACCGTGCGTCTCCATTGCGTTCTTTCCGCCGCCAACGTTTTCACCTGGCTCCAAGTCTGCCCACACGCTTTCATCTCCTCTTCACATGACCTCCTCCAAGTCACCCTTGCACTGACGACCAACTCGCCACTTCCCTTTCGGTCGAGTTCCACTGGAGGGCTTGTCTTGTGATATCACTTGATGGTTTCCTCAGAGTATGGCCAACCGACCTCGTTTTCTTCCCGCTCATTTGTTTCACAATCGGTTCCTGCTGGGTTGGTTCGCTCCTAGAGATCCCTGTTGCTGATCTTTAGTGTCCATCTGATCTTGAGTACTGAGCGAAGACAGGTATTGATGAAGGTCTGTAGTTTGTTCGAACTGCTCTTTATGACGCGCCAAGTCTCTGATCCGTATTGAAAGTGGCACTGACTTTACATTGGAGTTGAAAATCCGGATCTTATTTTTGATGCTGAGCAGTGCTGTTGACCTCTTCACAGACTTGAAGGTAATAAAAGCTTGTCTTGCTTTCCCGATCCCTGCTTTGATATCCTCGTCAGTTCCGCCTGTGGTTGAGATGATGCATTCCAGGTCGGTAGGTAAAAGAGGCTGTTTCTTTCAGGTTCCTTCCACGTTTATCTAACGCGAGTGTTATTTGTAGTGCTCAGTGTAGGTAATTCAACTGACATTCCACATCATCATTATTATCATGCTTGTAGTAGAGGAGACATGGCTCATTATCAGTGTAAGCACTCTACTCTCCCCACCAGTTGGCCCCGGGTTCGAATCCCACTTCACCCAATATATATGGCTCACAGCCTGTAACTTGAAGAAAACATTTTTCAGGAGTTCAAGTATCAACAGTGGCAACAATAAGTGACTTCATAATCATTTCTCCAACAGCTGTCTTCTCTCAATTCTACTCAAGATCAGTTGGCCGGCCAGAAAAGACCGGCAACAGGGATCTCTGGGAGCCAACCAACCCAGCAGGAACTGATTGTGCAAGAAATCAGCAGGAACAAATGGAGATGGATATACCATACTCTGAGGAAACCATCAAGTGACATGACACGCCAGTCCATTGGTTGAGTGGAACTCGAATGGGAAGTGGCGAGTTGGTCGTCAGTGCAAGGGTGACTTGAAGGAGGTCATGTGAAGAGGAGATGAAAGCATGTTGGCTAGACGTTGGCGGCGAAGAGAACTCAATGGAGACACGCAGCTGAAGCCTTTTTTTCCTTTAAGAAACAATAATATTAATTTCTCTGCAAAAATGCCTCCTTAGCAGTGAAGTCTCAAGTCAAACATACACACATCGTCCCCTAATGGTTCTAATAGA